ATTGATTTATAACATAAATTGAGTTATGAGGTAACAAATATAAATAATTGCAACCGAATTGAGAACCTCTTTTTTGGAGTCGGTTAATAACTACTTAGGTGAGTGAACCGTATTTTTTAACCCACATTTCTTTGTTGAAAATGTTTTTATTCTTTGTAAAATTGTTTTACTGGTAGAAGAGATGCTAATAATTCAATTTTAATCCTGTAATTAGGGGGAAAGGGATTGTTAGTAATGAAGATTGACAGCCCCATTGTTAGCTATATACCCTATTAGGTCGACCTCCACGTGGTTCACCCTGGAAACCATCGTGAACAATTCTTGTTGAATTCGTCACGATGGGCCAACTGACCTGCTTCATCCTCACCTATCATCCTTCACTGGTGCCCCGCCGGTGCATACCGATAGCGCGGGTGGGGTTACCGTTCCATTATCACCCAATAAAAAAAATCCTGTAATTATTTTATTTTTGTATATCAGTAATTGGGTACAGATATCTGTTTACCACATTAATATATGTTTATATATGTATTGGTTTGACAAAATAAGTTGTCTTAAATATTAAAATCTTAATTCTTGCCACTCGTTCTACGTCTTCCAGACAAGGACAAATGTATGGGAATTTGGAGCGGTGACAACCCTAACTGTGGTAGATAAGGGAAATTTATATCACTAGAAACTTTACAGCAATTGATCAGTAATTTTATCATTGTATTGTTTACCGTTTTGAGATAATGTTTTTTTTTTTTGAAATATTACTATTGTTTATGCTAAGTTATGTATTAGTTTTTATCGTATTCGTTAATTCATTGGCGTGCCTTTTTGACCGACTTTGAAAAGGAGGAGGTCGTCAATTCGGCTGTGTCTTTTTATGTCACCATCATCATGTCCTGTTGACTGTCCACTGCTAAACATAGGTCTACCACTATTGGAGGGTTTTGCCAGTAGTTGCCACGCTTGGTATACAGATAGTTACCGTTATTAGGCTTTTGGTGACGTTTTAAGAAGGTTGCTGTTGTCCATACCTCGATCGTTAAGTTCCTTTATGTTATGAAGTTTTTTTTTATGTTAGTTACCTCATAAATCCGTCAGTTATAAATCAATTTGATATAATGATATTATATATATATATATATATATATATATATATATATATATATATATATACTTTACGAAAAACGAAGCTATAGTATATATATATATATATATATATATATATATATATATATATATATATATATAGTAAAATAATAATAAATAAAGATAAAATAAATACTGTTCGTTTGTATACGTAAATCGATAGGTTGACACACTATAGCTAATATATATATATATATATATATATATATATATATATATATATATATATATATATATATATATATATATATATATATACTTTGATAGGGGACCCAATAAATTACTTTTTTAATTATACAGAACTATCGTACCTACTTGTACAACAATTAGTCCATTACCTTAAGGTTGTCTTGAAAAGATTGCTCTCAGCAATAAGACCGCCTCACTGTACTTATACAATTGTATCGTGATTGTAAATTTTTCTTGCTTATCTCCTATATTGTATAATGCAAATAAAGTATACTCATTCACTCATTTCATTCAATTTGCAAGTTTTTTTTTTTTTATCTGAAATGATAAACTTTCAGTTTGGTCGTATGGAATTTTTTTATGCAACTTTGAATGGTAAACAAGCTGACGGCCCACCTGATGGGAAGAGGTTACGTTTTATAGCTTATTCTTTTGATGAAGTTATAAGTTATTTAGTACCACGATATGACCACGTGCGGAGTTGTGGTATACAGCTAGTGGTATAAAAGCTCGTTGCTAACATCCAGGTCCTTAATTAATGAATTTCATTGAAATAAAACAGACGAGAGTCCGGTTTCTTGAGCTTGTTATATAATCATCTTCGTTATTTTTAATTAATATATATATATATATAAAAAAAATATATATATATATATATATATGTTATATATATATATATATATAAAGAGATATATATATATATATATATATATATATATATATATATATATATATATATATATATATATATATATATATATATATATATATATATTTTTTAATGCAAAATTTTTTATATACCTACATGTAGATGGAGTGTCGAATATTAAAAACTGTTTCAAAAACTGTTAGTTAATTGTTAATTTATGTGTTGCCTAGCCATACTGAATTTTCAAATATCTTGTCAAAGTAAATGAAAGTACGAAATGATATTGTTAATAATATTTATTTATTTAATTCTTTATTGTACACATCAGTTATTTATAAGAATATAACAGAGCTAATCAAATGTTTTTTACAGTCCCAATGCTAGCATTATACATCAGTTATTTATAAGAATATAACAGAGCTAATCAAATGTTTTGTACAGTCCCAATGCTAGCATTATACCCGGTTAGGTCGACCTCCACGTGGCAAGTTAAGTAAAGAATTTTAAATGTCGAAAATAAAGCAAGTAAATTGTGGGATTTTATAATTTTTTTACGTTATTGTACAGTATGTATGTTGCTAATAAATGCATTAAAATAAATGTTGCTAATAAATTATCATTATATTGTAGCAAAGAAAGGTTCTGGGTGGCGGCCCCGTACGGACAAACACAGTGTAGGACGACCCCCCACTCACGACCTCAAATGCACTGCAGGGATAATGCAGATGGCTCAGGACCGTTCCTCATGGATGTCTTTGGGGAGGCCTATGTCCAGCAGTGGACGGATAATGGCTGAAATGATAATAATACACGTTGCTATAAATTATCGCTAGCAATTTATTAATTAATTCAATTTAATAAAGATCTCCCAACCATTTTTAAATAAAATAACGTTGCTGGCTGGCATCTTCTGGTGTTGGAATTCTTAACGTGTTTAAAAGCTATTTTATGTGGTGCGACAGGGGCGCTGTTTCTCACGTTAGCCTCGAGAGCACGTGTGTTTTTGTAAAATACAAACTCACTGTGTCAGAGGGAGGCATCTATTTTATTTTATTTTATTTATTCTTTATTGACCACATTACAAAAAAAATGTCTGGTACAAAAGGCGGACTTAATACTATATAGCATTCTCTCGTAGTCAACCTTTGGCAAAACAGAAATATAATTATGCGATGAAAAAAATTGTAACACATACAATAGAGAACTACTGCACATTATGATTATAAATATAAATATAAATACATGAATACATTAGAAAAATATTACATAAATATACAAATATGTAATAAAAATACATACATACAAATATAAATAAATATATAAATATACATATATAAATATGTGCAATATAATAAGTGCGAAGGAACAAAAATGTTATTTCCTGTGAAATAAGATGATAATATTTTTTTTCCATTAAAAACCGATTTCAATTATTACAAAACTAATGGTTTTGATTTAAAAAGAAAACTACTAAAGCGATTTTAAAAAAAAATCTATAGAAACAAAAACTGTATCCTATACTTTTAGAGATATAAAATATTTTTTAAATCTATTAAAAAATTACGGAGGTGTGTGAGGTTTTTTTGTTATGCAACTTAAAATGGTAAACAAGCTGACGGCCCACCTAATGGAAAGTGGTAACCGTCGCCTATACACATGAGCAGTACCATGAACATAACAGAGTATATTATTTCGCCCATGATACCCCCCATGCGTTGCCATTCCTGAAGATTAAGGTGTTATTCCTCTGTACCGTGTAAATTCACGCCATATCCCACCCTTCAAAACGAAACACAGCCATGCAAATACAACTGTTTCACGGTAGAAACACGAATGGGACTGAGGTGTCCAAGCAAACGACTTTTGTACAGTCTTCTTGGTAACTACATACATAAAAAAAGTACAAATGAATTAAGGGTACCTCCTTTTTTGAAGTCGGTCGAAAAGTATATTTTTTGTTTATTTACTCATTATTCAAATGCAATGTATGTATTTAATTCGTTACATTTTTCTATTCTGCTTAATACTCATTCGACGTTTATGAAATCTCACTGGTAATCGGATACGGTTTTGATTCAAATGAACATTGGATACCGGTACGCTTGGATTGGTAAATCGTATATCTACGCACTTGGTTAACTCATCTGGGGGAGTGGGAGGAGAAGCTTACGTGCAGGCAAATGAATGGATATATCTTTACGTAAACGTTATTAGCAATAAATTGATATAAAATTTGAAAAAATAAATAAATACTGTGTTAGTTATTGTGCAGTTTTTATAATTAATTTATATTGTAATTGTATATTGTTATTATTAGATTTATTATTGAATTAACAATGGCTATATAAGTAGTATGGATACAAAAAGTAATCAAATATTGCAATATGTATGTATTAAACTTCGATTAGTGAATTGTTTTTATTTTCCTTTCTTGTGTAATAAATAAACTTTTTAATTTCGAATTTTTCCTTATAGACTACATTATGGTTCTTCAAAAAGCGTATATTAACCCTTTTAGTGCCGTTGATTTTTACTCATATCTACTTAAAAATGCCAAAGAAATCTTTGTCGTGTTGATGTCATTTACCCTTGTCTCTAAAAAAACTGTATCTCCTCCAAAAATTATCCAATTTTAATATTTTTTTTTTACAGCAAGCTAAACAGCGACTGATTTCACGAGCGCTATGACGCTCGTGGCACTTTGCACGTGCACGTGGCAATGCGGACGGTTAAGGTTTCTTCAGGGTTTGCAATACGTACGTGACGCTCCTAGTGTTGTAGGTGTCCACAGACTACAGTGACCGATTTACTAACAGACGGGCTGGACGCTTGTTGGCCAGTTTGTGGCATAAAAAAAATTTAAATATTTGCACGCCTACTATTGTGGTAGAATAGGATTGGACTATAATTTTCTTCTAATGTAATATCTACAAAATGTACCTCTTTTAAGCAAATAAACGTATTCAAAGTCTTATAAATTTTCATTAAGCCAAAGTCATGGCAATCATTAAATTGTTTACAGTGTTACGGCAAACTGTTGCCAATGAGATGAGTCTGTTGAGATGACATCACGCCTGTGAACGATGACTGGATTACTACTTATATACTCGTATGTGGTACTTATATATTTACCTCATAGTGTCAAAGAATACGCCATTGTATCCATGGTAAATAAAACATTATGTTTTGGACTTACGTTATTTTTAATGAATATCTCATTTAATTGTTACTTAGAGTTCATCAGACAAATTCGAATTTAAACTAATGAATGGGGGAGAGGGATTGTTTGTAGTGAGATCCAACAGATCCATTACTAGCAATATACCCTAACAGGCCGACTTCCATTACCAGAGGGAGACTTTGTACAAAAGTCGATTGCTTGGGTACCTCTGTCCCATTCGTGTTTCTACCGTGAAGCAGTTGTGTTTGCATGGCTGTGTTTCGGTTTGAAGGGTGGGATACGGCGTAAATTTACTGGGTACAGAGGAATAACACCTTAGTCCTGGCATGGCAACGCATGGGGGTATCATGGGCGAAACACTATACTCTGTTATGTCCATGGTACTGCTCATATCTATATGCGACGGTTACCGCTTTCCATCAGGTGGGCCGTCAGCTTGTTTGCCATTCTAAGTTGTATAAAAAAAAAAATCTCCCCGCGGTTCCCCCTAGAAATCATCGTGGTTATTTTTTGATGAATTCGTCACGATGGGCCAACTGACCTGCTTCGTCTTCACCTATCATCCCTCACTGGTGCCCCGCCAGCGTATCCCGATAGTGCAGGCGGGGTGACCATTCCATTTTCATCCATTAAAAAAAACCTAACGAATGAGCAGTACCCAATTTGTTAAGGTCTAATGATGGGATTTATGGGAAACATTTGTAAAATTTAATTTCTAGGTAATGATTACCATTCTCTATCGAGTGGGCTGTCGGCTTAATTATCAATCCATATATTAAAGTTAATCCCGATAACTACCTGGCATATCAGAGTGTCCTCATGACCTCGGTCCCACGCGCTGGGATAATGAACTATTAGTCGCCGATTCACATCAATCGATAATATTAATAATTTAATCAATTATGTATAAAGATGGATTATAAATGTATACATCTATACATATAAATAAAATTGGAGTGTCTGTTTGTAATATTGAAATAACCATTTTTTACTACATGTACGGTACATCCACCAAAATAATATTTTTTACAATTTTTGTCTCTCTCTTTCTGTTTGTTCCGGCTAATCTCTGAAATGGGTGGATCGATTTTGACGGGACTTTTATTGGCAGGCAGCTGATGTAATAAGGAGTAACTGAGGCTACGTTTATTTTAGAAAAAAATCTATTAATTTTAGAAAAAATCTTTTATTTTAAAAAAATAAAGTAATGTTGCAATGATCAAGTACTGTCCAGTACCGCGCGCAGCTCTCGCGCATGCCATTACTGGGCCGTCACGTCGGACGCCTGCCACCATTTCTCGCACCAACGAATTTGGAATAAGTAAAAATAAAATGAAATTAATTAGGTATCCTAATAAAAAAAAAGAACCACCACTTTCCATCAAGTGGAGCTTGTTTGCCATTCTAAGTAGTATAAAAAAAAAGCTTCTAACATCAAGCGACACAAGATCTCATTGTAATTCCAGCCCTTGTTTAAACCTGTCTGTACTGGAGTGTTGTTGTAAATAGAACAACACCACTTGACCCAGTGACCGGCGTGCCCTTGGTTCCCCTGTGCTCAATACAACACCGCCTGCAGTATTTCTGGTTTTATGACGTTTTTATTCTTCTTGTTGTTTGACGTTCAGAATCTTTATAACTAGCTGTACTTGTGTGTGATTGTGTCCGTGTGAATTAAACGCACCCCGTGTATTTTGCTCTGTAAAATAATTCAATACAATTCAATCATTTATTGCTATTAATGGAATGGTAACCTCACCCGCGCTATCGGTATACGCCGGCGGGGCACCAGTGAAGGATGATAGGTGAGGATGAAACAGGTCAGTTAGCCCATCGTGACGAATTCAACGAGAATTGTTCACGGTGGTTTCCAGGGGGAACCACGCGGAGGTTGACCTGATAGGGCATATTGCTAGCAATGGGGCTGTCAAACTCCATTGCTAACAATCCCTTCCCCCCCTGCTATTTCATGTTATAACAATATAAGTCTTATGTTATTGAAGGTAAAGAATCAACATTAATCCTGGAAGGGCGCAGCAGTCACATTAATAAATATTTCATAAAGTACATAACTACATTTTTATATAAATATTATATATATATGTATAGTCGATTAACATAAAATAAATAAAACATTGTTACATTGAAACAAATAGGTACAAATACAATTAAATTTTCTCACTGAAAAATTCCTGCAGTGTATAATAACTTTTTGTAATTAAATATTTTTTTAGAGCTATTTTAAACTTTTTAGTATTTAATTGTAATTTTAGACCAATATACAATGTGATAGATGACATTTTTCATATACAGATTATTCGTCATCAAATGATCAGAACATAAAATGCCTAATAACTCCTACATTACTCCTAGATAACCTTATCTATGACTTCTCGTTGATTTTTTATGTGTACGTTCAAGGTTGAATAGGTACACTTTATTTTTTTTTAATACAATATGGTTAATTAACGAAATTAGTTTAAGTGGCCGTGCGGTCCCGGTATAGAATAGGCCATCCCCTTCCTTTCTTGTGAATGTCGTAAGAGTCGACTAAGAGAACTTAATGGTAGAGAGATGGGGTGGGGGGGCAGCGTCACTCCTAGAACATCTCTAAGAGCCTAATTGCGCTATCCAACCAGCCTGCCAAGTGTGGCAGCTGCCAGTAGCTCTAAGAACTTCTCTTATGGAAAAGCCTTATGTTCAACACTGGACGAATATCCAATTTTTCTGTTGCATGTAGAACAAACTTCAGTACCTATATCAAAAACAGTTATTTTAATTTAAAAACTAAATTACAGAACCGATTTTGATACAATTTGTATGAAGCTAATCTGTAAACATATCCTATTAGATAAAAAAAAAAAAAAAAATTCAAATCGGTTAATAACTAACGGAGATATGAGGTAACCAACATAAAAAAAAATACAACCGATTTGAGAACTTCCCTCGTTTTGAAGTCAGTTGTAAATTTGTTATCCAAACACGCAGACAAAGCAGAGTTTTATTTCTTTAAAGCATACATTAAATAAATTATCAATTTATTTACGTCTTATTTTTTCATGAAATAGCTACACGCTACTCGTATATTTACCTCGCATCTGAAAATATGAAAAAGCGTACGTAATAAACGCAAACAATTCAGCCTCAAAGGTGTAAATCGTCAAGTTAAAGCGACTCGGGTTTGAATGTCATTCAACATTTTCTTTTCGGTGTGTTTCGCGCCTTCCCATACTCGTACGTAGTCGGGCCTGTCTCCAAGAAAACATTGTAGGTAGACCTCCTCCACGGCACTCAGCTAGATGAGATTTACTTTCAAATGCTTCCCTACTTTTAACTTTTACTCTTGATTAAGGTTTGCTTAGGTTGGTATCGTCTCTCTGGGAAACATTTCAATTAGTATTAATTTAGTAAGTCAAACTTGGAAATCTTAGAAACGCTCGGAGTAAATAATTTACAATTCTTAATTAATGTTCTACAATATAATATTTACTTGCCTTTATTTAATTTGTGAACATGGAAAATAGCAGGATGTATACTGAAATAATAGGGAAATGAATGAGATCGTTAGAAAAATGAAACGAGCAAAGGTCTCGGTTGAAATGCCCAATGGATTAAGCCGAAAAGTCTAAATTTGTAATGATCCTAACGTGTAATATTGATTCGATGTTAAATGTGTTGATAGTATTTATTATACTGATACCAATAAATGAGCTGGGAAACAATTTTAACTAACCTATAGATTTGTTATTGGGAGTACCAAACAAACTGGCAGTTCGCATTAGGCATATACGCAAAGAAAGACAGATGTATACTCTATATTGGTTCTTCCAAAAAATTATTCTTTATATGGTGACGACGATAACCACTTTATCCATGTCGTTCCAGAGACGTATCATTTGTCAGTGCATACAATGACTATTTATCATATAGTAATATAATAGCAAGCAATGTTGCTTTCTTGCAAAAATTGTTGCAGTAATACAGTTCTTTTTAAAAGATGAACTAATTATAAAGGGATGGATAGATTGTGTGAAAGATGTTATGAAAGTATGTGAATGCTGAATGTATTGAAATTAAAGATTAATCAAAGAGATTTATACATTATACTGACCTCAAATAATTGGAAAAAAAAAGAGGAAGAAAATGGTTGGACCTCTCCAAGAGATCTGCTAAAATGTACCATCTAGCCTATTTTGACAGTTAATAGATATCCCAGTAAATTTGGCAACCTACCTGACATAATTACACATTTTCCAAATAGTACACTGAACATATGGCATTATATAGGTGAAGGTGATTAGATCATTACTATAAAACATTTACGAGCGAGTCAACGGTTCAAGGCAGCACATTAAACCGACGATCACAAACATTTGGGTGAAACGCATACGATATTATACCGTTTTATCCTTTATGGCAATAATAAAGGGAGAGATTCAAATAACGAATTCACTTTATTATTAAGCGATGAATAACGCAGTGATTAAGTTGCAATACTGCTAGTACTTGGAAAATGAGATATTTTTAGAACCTAGTTTCCGATACCCGCTTTGAATTTTACAGTATTTTCTCAGTTTACAACGTTTAAATACATTTTATATTTGTTCATGAATTAGAGATTTAAGAAAATGAAAATACTACCACAACTCTACTCTACCCACTTCTGTCTATTCTCCTTTAACAAAGGTAGCCTGTAAAAGCTTGCCCTAGCGATAACACCGCCTTTTGTACCTTTACGTATATATTTTAATCTGTACTTTATGCTTCTTTATTTCATTTGAATTGTTTATGTGCCATTGTTTATTTTGTTTCTGGTGCAATAAAGAGTTAAATAAATAAAATAATACTTTATTAAAAACAGCAAGTTATAGTTATATCATGTAAAACGTTATGTTGTTGCATTTGAATCAGAACTATAGTGATTTTCTTAGCTATCAATGATAAAGTGAGATAGTTAAAAGATATCGAGTCTTCATTGATTTTTCC